CCACAGGTTAACTGAATTTTGGCATCTACATAGCGCATGGAAAATGTGCTCAGCTGGTTCTCTTTGACAAATCGTACATAGGTCTGATTCTTCCAAACCTCTCTTCTTATTATGCCATGTTGGGACTGAGTTGGTGGCCACACACCATGCAATTATTTTTACTGTATGCAAGATTGTTAGAATCACAATTTTGAATCGGATTGGAGCTCCCATGCTAGGATCTCACATTGTAGAATCGTAACTATGAGGATAATAGAAACATAGACTCTATGAACTAAAGTCGTACAAGAGGGGTTAGTTTGGATCGTAAAGATGTAGAACCGTACAACAAAACCGCGAGTCTGACAACTTTGACTGTAGGTGGAACAATTTCTTCCATATGAAATCCCAACACCTCCTAGTACCATCAGGGGAAGAACCTGCTGCTGATTCGAACACCCTTGAGGACTCATCAAGAGCAAATTTGTAGGCCGATCATACCGAGAAAGATCCCAGATGCTCCGGACCCCAAGCAATAGTGTCGTCCATATGCGTTGGGGAGGCCCAAAATTTTAAGATCTCATCCGTGTCACAAGGGGAAAAGTAGGTCTCCAACATATCTGCCATCCAAGAACCATTAGTGTCTAACAAATCTGACACAATACAGAACTTGCACTTGCCTTTTGCACTTGACACAATACACCCTCCTATGCCGACAGCTATATTATGCCGACGGTCTGACAGGAGTACGCTGACGTGATCTACACTGACGGGGCTATGCCGACGGCAGCCGTAGGCATAGATCTATGCCGACGGCATAGGACCTATGCCGACGGCCCTTGGCCGTAGGCATAGCCCACGAGTCCGGTAGTGATGGTGTGACATGAATTAGCGTGCAAACTGACTGTTCTGAATTGAAATAAATTCAACATTGCTATGAAGATTTACGGTACTATATTTTCATGCTTTGTAAGGTCATACAGTTTGGTTGAATTTCTGCTGGGAGCACTCAATGGTTTGATAGGAATTAGTGTGCAAACTGTTTGTTTTGAACAGTTAATTTCATCTCTCAGTTCAGTAGTTTCATGCACAGCTTGATATTCAGTGGGTTAAATTGTTTGACACAATAATTGAAACTGCTTTTAGGTTGAGGATTGGAGCTTCTGCCCCAAGCTTGACACCTTGCTCACCCCGCATAAGCGCTTTTGAGAAGGCAGTTATGGTCTTCGTAGAAAACCCGACTGAAGATGAGCCGTGGCTTGTAATTTGGCGGTGGTAATCTGGTTCGCGGACCAGGAAATTCGCTCTCTGTTAGGTGGATGGCTTGAATCATTCGCTGCAGGCCGGTGGCTCCCCGACTGTGGTATCCAAATCCATTTCCAGTCAGCGGGGGGCTGCAGCGCACATGACTCCATTCCAGCGATGGAGTTCCTAATGCAGCCAATTAGAAGGTAAGATGAATCCATGGATCTGTCAAGCTAGCTGACTTGCTAAACTGTTGTTGAGATTTATGTTCTGATTTGGGTCTCCTTGCGTGTTCTGTTGGCTTTGTCAGGTATCCTATTGTGGAGGTGAGTGAGAGTGAGCAGGAGATGAATCTGCCAGCGAACAGGGCAGTGGCGACTTTCCCGACAGTGGATGAACCGTCGGCGGCCTGTCCGCGCAGATGTGTGAGTTACAGACCGCCGTGTTGGGAAGACGGAAGAGCCCGTCGCAGCAATCTGAACTATCAACTGGTAAGATGAACCTGCAGGCGCTGTGATGGTCTAAAAGGTGCGCGCGTGTAAGCTTAGATTGGATCTGAATTTATTGAGAATGCTTGAATGAAATTGTAGTAGAATGCATAGATCTATCGATGCAGTGACATTCATTCGGTAGCATGAGAAATTGTCTACGTAGCACTTTTAGAGCACGTTTGTATTAATAATTGACACACTGTACTAGTTGAAATTAGCTCATGATTGAGCAATTCTGAAGAAAAAAAAAGTACATGCCGTTCGGACAATTTGTCAGTTTGAAAAACCACAACCATAGTGTGATCTTAGCTAGCGTCCTGGTACACGATGAGACCGTGTAGAGTTTTGAGTGGTTTTTTACTGAATTCCTGAGGATTATGGGACCTGTAGCACCAAGGACAATCCTAACAGGTATGTTGATTAAGGACATTTCTTAAAAAGAGTACTTGAAGATGGTGCTGGTAGTATGATGATATGATTGTTTCTTGTTTTTGTTCATGTGCAGACCAGAATCGAGCTGCAGTTAAGAGTGTGATGCTTGTTGGTGTGCCGACGGCTGGGGCACAAGAGAACTACTTATCCAGATCGTGGCGATGTGCCGACGAGGTGCAAAAATTGTGGTGTGGTGGGGCACCAAAGGAATAATTTTACGAAAGCAATGGACCTGAGGTTAGCTGGTGACGTGTGGTGGTGAGTGAAAAATGCCAAACGGTTTCAGCAAGTTTGTATGGTCAAAGTGTGACTTGTTTTCTGCATTCGTGATGTGTTTGTGCAACTGAGCACCTGCCCTGCGTGCAGGCATGCTTTATGTCTTGAGTTGTAATAAAAATGTATTCAGTGATGCATTAGTGGGTGCTGTGAAGTATCTAGGGTTGAAAACAAAATCCTTTTTCAGTTGGGTTTATGGAAGGTGAACTGCTTAATTAGATGAAACCATGCAAGTGGACTGACTTTTTATAATCAGTTGTTGTTTTGTATGCTTGAGGGAAGTCTACAGCCGGGCAGATGGATATAGTCGTCAGTGCGGGCGACGACGGCTCTATGGTGACCTTGCATGCAGGTATGTTGTCAATCATTTGTTGATGTTTCAGTAGTAAGTGTGTTGTTCTCGCGTTGAACCCCTTGCAAAAAAAAAATCGTGACACAAGGGTTGCCCTGTTTGGAAAACGCTGTTAAGTACTCCCTTCGTTCCTAAATATAAGTCTTTTAGAGATTTCACTATGGACTACATACGAAGCAAAATAAGTGAACCTACACTCTAAAATATGTCTATATACATCCGTATGTAGTTTGTAGTGGAATCTCTAAAAAGACTTACATTTAGGAATGAAGGGAGTAGGTAGCAGCAGATGATGCAGAGGGGACACTGTCGAGCAAGCGTCAAATGTGGCAATGCAGGTATGACCTGAGCTCGAGCATAGATTTTCTTTGCTGTTGAGTGCAAATTGCAGAAGGAAGCATTTCCGTTGACGCCTGATGTTATGTTTTGTTGTGCGCAGAGTGAGGATGCAATAAAGTATTGGACTGACGCTTCAGAAGGCGTGACACTTTCCACTGGACTAGGCGCCGGAATATGATCCAGTCAACCTGGCGACTGTTGATGTTGTTGGGGAGGGCTAAGGTGATTATGATCCAGTAATGAATCATGGAGATGAGTCGAACAAATTGTTTGGTGTCGACGATGGATCCGTCATCCGTTGCTGGAAATGGGTGTGTTATTCCGACGAGGAGTACGCAGAAGTGAGCAATTCTGAACCAAAACGACGGCGGCTCGTTTAGGGAAGAACCAGGATCAGTTTGCTGGCGTTGCGTCGGGTAATGATGTCATTACCCGCCTAGTGCTAGTGGTGTGATGTAATCCATGTACAAGTTTGTTGTGCTGTCATAGTTAATTAAGATCCATAATCATCATATCACTTTTGTCTTGCGGCCGTGTTTGTTGGCGACCATGCAAAGTAATGTGACGGCTTGGACGGCCTTCTATGAAACATAATCGACAAGTAATCGGCCCATGACGTTTGGTTTCATTAGGTCCGTCAAAGAAATAGACGGAGACGTTGCATTAATGATGGGCCTATGTGGGCCATAATCCTTAAAAGGAATGAAATACAAGTTACTATACCCCGCGCAATACGCTTGGGAAAGGGAATCTCGGAGTGAGCCGACGAGCGGGATATCGAGCACATGTACGCTCGAGCTCAGAATATGACTTTCGCGCTCGCTGTCATTACTTCAGCAGAGATAACTCTCCCCGCTTCCCAAGCAACCCCTTCGCTACCTGTGCCGCGGTGCACGCGATTAAAACCCAAACGTCACCGAGGCAGCGCCCGGCACAGCGTCTATGAAAGGAGTCGGTGCCCGAGGAGTCGCTCCCAATCCATCGATAAATATCGCATCCAGTCGGTAAATATCGCACTGGTCCAGTCCATCGCTCCACAATCATCTTCCTAGCTAAGTACTCCAAGACTCCAAGTCCCCATTCCCCCCTACATCCAGCACGCCATAGCTCTGCGCGCGCGGCTGTTCAAGATCCACACTGCCCCCATGGCGACCGCCTGCACGGTCTTCACCGGCGCCGTGCGTGCCGTGAAACTGCTCAAGATCGACAGTTTCCGCCTGCTGTACAAGACCATGCGCGAAGGCGAGTGCATCAGATTCAGAACCAGCTGGAACGTCGACGGCCACGACTTCGAAATCCGCTGGTACCCTGCGACACCGTGGGTAACGCTGGAGCTCGTGTAACTCACCGAAGCCGCAAGCACCTGCAACGTGAGGGCGAGCTTTGGTTGTCTCCTGCTACACCCGAGGCTGCCAGACATTGGCAATGAAGAGAAGACCGTGTGGCATGTGTTCAAGCGCGCCAAGGACTGTTCGCCTGGAGTCTCGCTTGTGGAGAGATCCGTTCTGCTGGATCGGACTTCAAGCCAAGGAGACTACGTGACCGTCCAGTGCACAGTCACGATTCTGAAGGAGCTCGCTTATACGACAACGACGGTGCCCGTGCCGGCATCCAACATGCACCAGCACTTCCGGGAGCTACTGCAGAACGGCACGGGAGCTGACGTCACGTTCCTCGTCTCTGGCAAGACCTTCGCCGCGCACAAGCTCGTGCTCGCCGCGAGATCCCCGGTCTTCTTGTCCGAGTTCTTCGGGAACATGAAGGAGAAGAGCTCGCGGCGCGTGGAGATCAAGGACATGGAGGCAGCCGTGTTCGGGGCGCTGCTGGAGTTTATCTACACCGACAATGTTCCTGAACTTGACCGGGAGCTGGAAGCCGTGGCGACGATGGCTCAGCATCTGCTTGCGGCGGCTGACAGGTACGGACTTGACAGGCTCAAAATTATCTGCGAGGGCAAGCTCGTCGGTGGCATCACCGTCGACACGGCGGCAACTACTTTGGCTTTGGCAGAGCAGCACAACTGTCCGCACCTCAAGGAGAAGTGTGTTGAGTTTATCATCAGTAGTCCTGAGATCCTTGTTGCCGTGGTGGCGACGGAGGGGTATAAGCATCTGGAGGCAAGCTGCCCTTCGGCGCTCACTAGCATTGTCCTGTCTACGCGTGGGAGAAGGAACTGAAGAGTTGCTAGTCGCGAAAGTCCAAGTTTTTGGTGCTTTCACCTTCTATGCACGATCTAGCAGAACTTAGTTAAGCCTGTCTTTGGCCTAATATAATGGTGGCATTTATGCTACAGCTATGTATGCCCGAGTAACTAGTGTGCGCCTCCATTTTCTCCTTGAGGGGGTGTTTGTTTCCAGGGACTTTTTGATGTAGGGACTAGAAAAAATCCCTAGCAAACCAAACAGGGTGGGACTTTTTTGAGACTTTTTGCTAAAAGTCCTTAGAAGCACCTCCTTGAGAGTCTTTTTCAAAAAGTCTCAGGGACTAGAAAAAGTCCTATGACTAGAGAAACAAACACCACCTGAATTCGATGGGTCTTTTTTTTTTGAGGGAAACACCAGGATATTTTATTAATCTATTTATACATAAAAAGTGCTTTATGAGGTATCCAGAAAAAAGAGAATTAGTCTAGAAAATCTCATAATAATTAGGAACATCTGGGCATCAATTTAAACCCATCAGGCAAACACAACCAATGAATTAAAAGATCAAAAATATTACCCACCAATGCCCTTAATGAGTTATCTTTGCCACGCAAAAAAAAGAGACAGCTCCACCTAAGCGCATGTATGTATCTTACGTGAGGAGGGGAAATAGGACACTCACGCCCTCCCATCAAGAAAAGGATAAAAAAAAACAAGCCATAGACTTAGCAGGCTTGAGGCCACTGGTGTTTATGAAGATGAGTTTGGGAACACCCGGTGGAGATGCGGGGGTTATTGGGCTCGAGTGAGGGGTGCTTGAGGTCACCAAAACATCGGAGATGGCGGTGGGGCCTATAGGGATGGCCGGGGTTTCTGACGTCTTGGGTTGGCGGTGTTGAGACGATTAGGCGGGTGTAGGTGATCACCAGCATTAGAGATGGTGGCAGCCTGGCAGGGTTTAGAGGAATTGGCAAGGGTGGCAGATGCTGGGGCGGGGCAGCGGTGACAAACGATTAGGCAGGTGGAGGTGGACGGGCCGAAGGGTGCTCGAGATCACCAGCGTAAAAAGTGGTGGTGGAGTATAGAGGGATGGCCGGGGGTGGAATGGAGGAAGAAGGCAACATTGGGAGGAAGACATTAGTATTATGTGGTAATTCCAACTACATGCTGCAACATTTCATTTGCATCTATTTATGCATAAAAAGTACTTTATGAGGTATCCAGAAAAAAGAGAATTACTCTAGAAAATCTCATAATAATTAGAAACATCTGGGCATCAATTTAAACCCATCAGGCAAGCACAACCAATGGATTAAAAGATCAAAAATATTACCCACCAATGCCCTTAATGAGTTATCTTTGCCACGCAAAAAAAAGAGACAGCTCCACCTAAGCGCATGTATGTACCTTACGTGAGGAGGAGAAATAGGACACTCATGCCCTCCCATCAAGAAAAGGATAAAAAAAACAAGCCATAGACTTAGCAGGCTTGAGGCCGCTGGCGTTTATGAAGATGAGTTTGGAAACACCCGGTGGAGATGCGGGGGTTATTGGGCTCGAGTGAGGGGTGCTTGAGGTCACCAAAACATCGGCGATGGCGGCGGGGCCTATAGGGATGGCCGGGGTTTCTGACGTCTTGGGTCGGCGGTGTTGAGACGATTAGGCGGGTGTAGGTGATCACCAGCATTAGAGATGGTGGCAGCCTGGCAGGGTTTAGAGGAATTGGCAAGGGTGGCAGATGCAAGACGTCAGAAACCAGCGTAAAAAGTGGTGGAGGTGGAGGTGGAGGTGGACGGGTCGAAGAGTGCTCGAGATCACCAGCGTAAAAAGTGGTGGTGGAGTATAGAGGGATGGCCGAGGGTGGAATGGAGGAAGAAGGCAACATTGGGAGGAAGACATTAATATTATGTGGTAATTGCAACTACATGCTGCAACATTTCATTTGCATAATTCATCCCGGACAATTATAGAAACGGAAGGAATATGTGCAACCATGTTAGAGATCTATTTGGGTGGCTAAAGTAGGTAGAATGTAGGGCAGGGCCTAGGATGGTTCGGATGCGTCCAGGGACGGAGCCAGGATTCTAACATAGGGGGGGCGAGATTTTCCTCCAGTGCACGGAGAAAAAAAATCACGCGAAAACAGTCTATGTTAATAAACTAAATTTTCACCAGGAGAAGAAAAGAGATGTTTGGTTCTGGACAATTCAATTTTCATCAAAAGTTACCAAGAATCATAATGAACTAATTATTTCTACTACATGAGGAAATAAACTATGCAAAACCTTGTTTCACGGCTTAGCAATACTCCCTGATTAAAAATTTAGTTTTGAATTTTCTGCAGTTCTAGTTCTATTGTTCTAATTTTTGAAGATCTATAAGCCCAGCATGAAAGACGAGAAAACAAGACGAGGATAAATCTAACCATTTTCCCTTGCTGGTTGGCCCTCATGCTGGGTGTGCGACCGGCCGGCCGTGCGCCCACGCATGAATCGCCTCGCTCCCTCCAGAATTTTTGATTTGAACGCTAGATGCACAGGGATGGATCGAAACTGCCCTAGACGTCTACGGCGGCTCGGCGACAAGCATCGAAGGCAAACAAAAGGAAACTACCCGTGACTGCTTTTCTGTGAGCTTTTGAGGCTTGGTATAGTTGGGCTTGGGAGATTAGTTGGGCTTTACGTGATTAGGGGGGGCTAAATTAGTCATCCACTCGTTGTTTGGGCTGGCTATATAG